CAAAGACCCCGGCAACCCACATAAACCATACGTCTCTGATCCCGGAGTCCCCGGCAGGAAGTGGTTAATGTGTGTACATGAGTATCACTAACAGTTAATTAATTTTCAGGTGTTTTGCATAGTGGTTGAGAAACAAAATTGAAATTTTACGACATGGAGCATTATATCTGTTATTGGGTATGTCTTTGGTACTGCATTTACAATGTTTACATGTCTTGTTTTGTTACCTATTTCAGTTGTTTTCCTCCGTGTTGATCTACTGGCATAGATTGACCTCCTTGGCAACGTTGTGGAGCTGTGGAAAAAAATGAACTGTGAACTCAAGTACTAATACAAACCACTGATGACTACTAACCACTAATCAATTATGATTTCTGGAGAGGAAAACAAGAAATGAATGTGCTCTTACATGACTGTGAAAGGGCTAATCAATTCTCATCCTTTCTAGGTAGTGGTCTCTTTTTGTTTGGCCTTTAACTTCTTTGTATGAACTAACGCTTCTGCTTCGTACCCGTCTGATTAAAATGGCCCCTAAAATTTCTTATAGATAACTGGTATCTGCACATGCCACTGACCAAGTGAAAAATTACCTTAATACTGATCAAAGACAACAGATATAGACTATACTTGAGCTCAACTTAATCAACACTCTCTGAATCCAAGTCCTAATCTAAAGTCAATCCAAACAATCAGTACATTCTAAGTTTAAGTTAAAGGACAAACATGTCTGGTACCTGACATTCTCCTGTGAACCAGAACTGGAAGCCCTAGAAAGGGACTTGGAACTAAGTGATCCTGAACTGGAGGCTCCACTCATATCTCCTTGCACAGCCTTCTGCTTAGACGCGTCAAGTGAGTGGAATAGTTTATCAGCTTGAACACGGAAATGTTCAGAGAACTTCCAGAAAGCCCTATAGAAAAAAAGTTGCACTAATGATCATTGATCTGGTAACAGGAAAACCATATAAGTGAGAGGCTTCTCATTCATTGAATGAACAATTTGAACAATTCAGAAAACCTGTTCCTATATTATATTTTTGGATTTTTGAAAAGGTTAACTTATTCAGATAAGGAAAGAAATAAGAAAGTGAGGATTCTTAGGGGAAAAATGTTCCAAGGACATTATAAATTCAAATAAACCTAGGGATGGAAATATCTCAAAATACAGTGGTAGCAATAATAAACTACAGACAATATGAGTCACTGAACAAATTAACTATTTTTCTTTTCAACTTTTCTATTTTTGGAAAGGCTATATACAGTATGTTGCATTTGAAAGTTAACGCTGCGAAAGGGAATGGGAAAAAAAGCGAAAGGAATTCGCTTTCGCATTTTGACCCAACTTTTCCCCCCTGCGAATTCACAACGAATTCGCAGAAAATCGGTAGCAAAAGGGGCGAACGAGGTGCAAAAACAGTGCGAAAATCGTGCGAAAACGGTGCAAATCTTTTGTGAACACGACGTGAAACATTTGCGAAAACATTGAGAAAAAAACAGTGTGCAAAAACAGTGTGAAAATTTTGCAAAAGCAGTGGGAAAGATTCCGAAAATCATCAGTCAGGATGCCCCGGTACGTGTAGATGCAGTGCGTGCTTCGCAATGCAATGCAACATGCACGAGGTCCCGTTGTGGTTTTCGAAGAGATTTAGTAATATTTTTTTTATTGGTGTCCCGAAAACGTTGACATAACCTGATACAAGCCATTTATTCCGAAATCACGGTACAAACATCTGCCAATACATGTAAACGTAATTCACATGACAACATGTGGATACATGTACATGTGCACATATGCAGTGCACATGTTGAGCATCCATCCAAGTGGGTTAATTTAAACGCTTATAAGACATGTAAAAAAGCGCTATATAATGGCAATCTACTGTAATTCAACTGTTCGGTATTCAGTGCTTGTCTCCACCCTCCACCATAGCCAGCTTTGATTTCGCCTGTCGCATTGTATTTTGCTCAAAACCGAGAAACATACTGCATTGAAATTTTAATGCTGTCTTCCTCAAGTAATCTGAATATTCCTAGGAATTGAAGAACTTTTCTCTCAGACTGATTTTCCTCAACTTTCCATATTCAAAAATGTGCATGTTTGAAATCCGTTTTTTCCCGTTTTGTGAGAAAATCTGTGAAAATTTTTTCCCATTTGTGGGAAAAAGCGTGAAAATTTTTTCCCACTTGAGAGAAAATCTGTGAAAATATTTTCCCACTTGTGTGAAAAGGTGTGAAAATATTTTCCCACTTGTGTGAAAATCTGTGAAAATATTTTCCCACTTGAGAGAAAAGGTGTGAAAGTATTTTCTCACTTTTGGCACACTTTTTCACAATTTGTGAAATAAAAAGAAATTCCCTGAGAAGAGAAAAAATGTGAGAAAATTTTCCCATTTTGGTGTTAACTTTCAATCGCAATGTACTATAGTATGCATAAGGTATTATTTCAAGAACCATCGAGTGGACAACATACTTTCTGGATAAAGCTCTGGCCTCACTGTCTGCATCCTCAATGCCTTTATGTACACATTCAGACAGAGTGTTGACATGTTTCTCTAAGGAATGTGTCTCCCAATCAGTCAGAACATTCAGCAGCAACTGACAGGTTTGTCTGTTAAGAAAGTGGAAAGTTGCTCAGTTTAACATAGTTAATGAAACAATGTGGGTGTGGCAGTGACTGCAAGGAATGAGCTACACATGTACATATGTGTCAACCTTTCAGAAAGAAACAAGTGGTTTTGAAGTGTCATGACATGTTCTGTTTTCCATAGCTGTTTTGCAAGCAAATGTCTTAACCACTTACTGCCGGGTGCAACTTGAAGTTGCATGACGTAAATCAGGAGATTTTCAAGATTTTCTGTTTTCAAAATTCTTCAGAAAATCGTAACTTCATTTACTGGACGTTTACACCCACACGAATGACTGTCTGGTGGCTACTCTAATATAACAGATAACATCTATTGATGCCCGAGTATTTCAGCCAGGCCTGCTGCCTGGTAAAAAGAGCCCAGATTGTGCGGTGTTACGTAAGTTTCTTTTGCATCTTTTCAACGGGCCAGATTAGCGTGCAGCGGTACTGTATCGCTCATCACTGGAGCACTGGAGCGCTTTTGTCCCCGGTGGTAATCTGCTCATGCCGAATGCCACAAACAGTGGTATAATCTTTCAAAACAATGACGGATATTCTCCCCTATTGACAACTGAAAAAATGTTAGCAAATCCAAGGTCCAGCTCTTTTGTCCGGTTTTGGGCTCCCCGGTTTCATGTATAGAGCCTATGTGCCCGAAAAGGAAATGGTTAATTACTTGATTGCTTGACAAAAACTGATCACTGTTCATTACCAAAAAGTAACCTGCTAATCCCCCATCTTTACATGTACATGTAATTGTTAGCTGGTTTTCCATGACAGATCCACGACACTGGAACTGGCAGTACAATGTATTTGGAAGTTGCATTTCCTAACTCACATTTTCACAAACACAACCCAATTTTTGTATATTCCAGGCTAACAATCTCTAACACACATATCATCATGTAGTTTTCAACACAATTAACAGATAACCGGGTACTTACTTCCTAATTGCAATGGACTTGGATGTGATGTTATACTTGAACAATGGTATTAATCTCGGTGAATGAGTGTGCTGCAAGAAACAAAGTTTTTTTCAATAACCTGCAACTACCAGTATAAAGTAGTAACAATACGACAGCATCATAGAAAGTTAGGGTTTGTGTTTATTTAGTTTCAGGATCAATAACAAAATTCAAAAAGGCGGCTTGAGACAAAATGGTCTCTATTTGTAACACTCAAAAAGTACAGACCTATTAACCCCATCTGCCAACCCTTTAAAACACTGACATAACAAACAGTCTAAAAAAAATTTGAAAATAGTCTTGATGTTAAAGTCTGTACTGTACTTCTTTTAAAATGTTTCCTAAGGTGGCTTTCTGTAATTGATATCAACTAAGGATGATTGAATGATGCAATACAATTTACATGTACATGCAAGTACCAGTCCCTACCTTTAATATGATAGTCAGACACACGCTACCTGAGGTTGACATCACCTTGGCACTATTCTGCAGTAGACTGAACAATGGGGGTAGTAACGTCTCTGCTACATGGTCAAATTGTCGACCAAGTTTAACAGAAAGAAATCTGTACAAAACATAAGCGTGGCATAGATCATTCTTTAGATTACTGAATCATCTGTGTCAAAAATATAGCTAAAGGTAAACAATGGTTCAATTAGATGTCATTTTACTATTGGGCAACAGCAAGGCAAGCAGATACAGAAATGGTTTCCACTCCTTAGATACTTGTGTAAAGATGTACAAACCAAACTGAAATTGAAATACTGTTACAAAAAACCCACACACAAGAAAATAAGAAATATTTCAATACAGAAAGATCTTACAAGCTATATATG